AACACATATTGACCCTAAATATAGTCTATATTAAGAACGAGAAAAGTCTTAACATATATATCCTTTTTTGTAAACATACGACAAATGTGTGAGGGTGATGACGTCAGAGCATCGTCCTATGTGCCAGGGCTTAGCCCCGGACAGCCCCAGCCCAATTTAACCCCTGGGTATTTGTGAGGGAGCTCCTATGGCATTACCCCGCTGATGCTCACCAAAGTTTAATATATTTCATAGTTCAAAGTTTTGTCAATTGTTTTGTTTATTGGTCAAATACTGGTTTCTAGTTTCTAAGGAGTTTTACTGGAATGAAAGAGCACAGAGTACAGAAGCAACAAAGCAGCATACTGCATTAAACCTGACCTTCACAGAGAGGTTGAAGTTCATGTGGAAAGGAGGCTCCAGTAGTCTGTCTGCACTCTGTTTAGTTGTGCTATCTTACAATCAATATAGTCAATGTGAGGTAAAGTGTGTCGCCAATGTAACCGGTTAGAACTCAAAGTTGCGATGAGGTCTTAAAAAAGGTCTTAAAAGTTATTAAATTTGACTTCAGAATTCCTGCATATACCCTGTCTAGAGATGTAGCAATAGTTCAGAGCTTCATTCATGACGCTTACATTAGACTTTGTTTTTGCTGCACTGATCTTTTTTTTCATCCTTAATTATGCTGCACTAACACTAGTGTTAATCATACTATAGTAGAATTAGATTCTAGTGTTGTTTGCATAGAGTTGAAGAGTGCAAAAGTCAGCATTTCTTCTCAAATATTCTGCTATAATCCATATTTGTAGTTTTTGGTGTTTAGTATATTAAAAACAACATAAAATAACAGACATTTAAAGCTCAATTGAAAATGTCAATAGAAGCTTTTGAATGTAATAACAAGACACTAAGTAAAGCGATGAAAAATACCTCTTCTCATCCAACAAAAACTAAAGATCCAACTCATCTCAAGCGTATACATTATTTGTAATGACTTTTTCAGCTGCATGACATTTTTTTAAGTTTTTGTTAAAGTGAAACAAAAGGTTTTGTTAAAAATAAAATGATGTTGCAATTTGTAAAAACATTTTTTTATCTTCTCCCATTTCCTAAGGAATGTGATCAAGTCCATGTGGAGGATGTTGCCTCTGATGACAACGGACAGGAGCTGAGGTGTGTTATCCTGTAACTTCATATATCACACACATACTGGCCTTATTTCACACGTATGACTTGGAGGCAGATTATGTTCCCTTCATCCAAACCAATCATAAGTGTTTCTTCCTACTTCAGTACCTACAACTTCTTGACGGATGGCTTTAACGGGGCCAGTGGTGGGGGGACGTCAGGAGGCACCACAGGGGTGCAGGGGGGCGTTGAGTGGATGAGGAAACTGGCCTTCCGCTACCGCCGGCTAAAAGAGATCTACAATAACTATAAAGGAAATGTTGGAGGTGCGTTTGAATCAATAATACAATTTATGTTATGTGTTTGTATCTGCAATTTGCACATATAAAAACCTGATAGGAAACTCCCAAAATATATAAAAGTCTTGAAATATTGCAAAATATCATCAGAACATTTAGGAAGCGCATTATTGCAGTCATTTTTAAACACATTATTGTTAAATTAGTGTTTTTCATGATCCGCTGGTAGTAATATCTACATGTTGTAGTACTGAGCTTATATTCTGCATGTTGTGTGCTGCAGGCCTGTTGAGCCCGCTGAAGGGGGAGCTGCTCCTCCGGCTGCAGAGTGAGATCGAGAACGTTACAGACGCCTGGCTCAGCACGGCGCTCAAGTCTCTGCTGCTCATCCAGTCCAGGTCAGAACACAGGTCATCCTTTCAAATAGAAATCTTAAAGGCCACACTCAGCGGCCCAATGAGTAAAGTGTGTCCTAGATTTGGCTAATAAGATTAGGTAGATTTGACATTACAATTAAATGTACTAGGTGTTTTCTCAGCAACCCAAAAACGTCGTTTGAAATGATTTATTCAGAAGATTATGGATTCCAAGAAACTGTTTTAAAAGTGTGTGTGTGTGTGTGTGTGTGTGTGTGTGTGTGTGTGTGTGTGTGTGTGTGTGTGTGTGTGTGTGTGTGTGTGTGTGTGTGTGTGTGTGTGTGTGTGTGTTCTCTAAATTGAAATGACCTGAATTGAATTTCTGAGGTGACATGACAATTAGCGGTGTGTGTGGTTCCACCAGGGGGAAGTGTATGAATGTGTTGGTCACCACCACTCAGCTGGTGCCAGCTCTGGCCAAGGTGCTGCTGTACGGCCTGGGAGACGTCTTCCCCATCGAGAACATCTACAGTGCCACTAAAATTGGTACGTAGAAAAATAGTTAGTACAATATTTTCTTCTCCACTGGGACTAAGGGGGAACTGTTGGGATTGTAATATTTGTATTTCATTTCCTGCAGGTAAAGAGAGTTGCTTTGAAAGGATCGTCTCTCGCTTTGGAAAGAAAGTGACGTACGTGGTGATAGGTGACGGTCGAGATGAGGAGTTTGCAGCAAAACAGGTATGACTCCTTACGCAGCGTCCACACGGCGGCGTGCGTTGAAGCTTGCCGGCGGGTGTGTCTGAAGCTCGACCAACAACCAATCACA